AACTTAGACCCATTACATGTGATATCATGTGATGGTGATATGATTGATATGTGTCTTGATATGTCACTAGTTAGACACGACGCTTTTCAAAAGCCAGGCGAGACAAGCGGACAGGCCAGAACTTTATTGTGGATGACTACTTGAAAGGCGCCGCAGAGTGTACGTATCGGATCGTTTCGGATCGGGTTCCTGTTGAACCACTGGCAGCGCGCTTGGATTTCAGTAACCCCTGAGGTTACCAATGGATTGATGAAAACACACCCAAGGAGCGAGCGGAGTGAGTCAGAAAAGGCAGTGTTTCAGCACAACTCCTCTCTCCTCATCCCTCCTCATCTCTTCATTTCTGGTTTTGAAGATGTGGACCTGTGGAGTTTTTGAGAATAAAACAGCAAAGAACATGTACTGAAGTTATTCCCCCAAAAACTCAAAAGTACTCATGAGTTTGACCCGCACAAGAATCTCATTGTTCAAGTGCCTCCAGACTTGAGTTGTATGTGATCTGATGTGATCCTTGAATAATTACTATATAAATCTGCATAATTTTTATGAGCATTAGAAGTTTCGAGCTTCTGGTCATTTCTTCGCGTTGCGCTTTCCACAGAACCGTGTCTTCTGTTTAAGGATAGAACATGAGATAGAACATGATAGACCAACAGAACCGTTATTCCTCCCACACTCTCAACATCCCATACTCCACGTGCACGTGCGACATCGTGCGACGGCTGTTTTGCCTGAGCAGGACTCACGGGTTATGGCTTGGTGGGATTACGGTTCCTGAGCAGCAATTCTACCACAGCATTCATCAAAAGGATCTTTATGAATCATATGAATCTTTTACCATGTTTTACCTTAGATGGTAATGGATTGATATGGATTGATAGATGTGCAGCTTTGTTGTTTCTCTTCGTTTAAACCAAGGATACCAGATCACAGGCATCGCGAAGCGCACATCCATCGCGGATGGCCCGGGTCCCAGGGATTCTGAGCAGCTCATGGAGCTCGCACTATCTCCAAGACTTTTTCCCGGAAGTTGAGGCAACACCTGGAACCATGAGCACATCGCAACCCTGGGTTCCTGACCCCAGTCAATGTCGAGAGGTATCAATGCGAAAAAAACCATCGACCATCTGATTGGTCACTGGTAACGTTTCATCTGCCTAGTTTGGCCTAATTAAGCGCCTTCAAAGGAAGACTAATTAACGTGGTAGATCATGCCACGATGTCCATCGATTTCCATCGATTTCCATCGATTTCCCGGGTCCTCCCACACAACCAACATCAACCAACTTGGATGTATGAATTGAAATGATGGTTTATGTGGTCCAAGTTTTGGTGCTCACAGGGTTTCCACGTGGGATGGGAACTTGACACGGAGTCAATCTTGTTTTGAGTGACATGCTTTAGTCAGAGGGGTGTGAGGCTTTAGATGTCAACAATATCAACAATTGCTTTCGTTTCTTTAGATCGCAACGCTAGTGCTGTTTAGATCTCTCTTCGGTTGCTGCAACAACCCCAAATCACACCCTTTTGGTGCTGCCGTTGTGGACCTCAAATGCTGCGGTTGCGCTTGCACACATTCACGTAGTCACTCTGTGCAACGAAGCCATGACGCCAAGGCCGTACTTTGACCAGCAGCGAGAAGAAGGCGGGGCAGACTTGGCCTGGAGACAAGACGATCGAACAGCTTGAGTTTGTGCCCAAAGTTGCCCAAAGTTACCCAAGTCACAGCCAGGTTTTGGTCAGACTGTCACACACTTTGGACCGGCTTATAGGGCACACTGAAGATGTTGACAGATTGGCTTCAGCAAGGCTCACAATGCAATTCGCCATTTGGCAGACTATGTCCTGGTTCTGGCCTTACTCTTTGCCGTTTGATCCGATCTTGACGGCGATGAAAGCGCTAGCTCCAAGCAAAACAGCCCCATAGGCCCATAGGCCCATAGATACACGATGATACAAGAGAAACACGTCAAATAAACTTTTGAAAGGATGCTCTTTACACGTTGGAGGCGTCTTTGATGAGCTATAATAGACCCATGTCGTGTAGGCTTTGGCCAGGAGGGTCTCCTTGGCGGGGTGAAGAGATGTGAAGAGTGTATGTACAACAGCAAAACAAGAGCAAAACAGAAAGTTATATTTAAAACATTTTAAAACAAGAGCAAAATAAGTAATGACAATTCAATGATGAGTAATGACACATCAAAAACATGCAAGTCACAACGTAGTCAGTGAGGTCTGGGCTGGTGGCGGTGGGGATGACTTGGCCAAATCGCCTCATTTGGCAAGGTGAAGCCCTGAGTAGCGTGATTTTTACGTGATAAAAAAGGCCAAATCTCACAGGAAATTCACATAAAAATCACAGATTATTCACAGATTATTATTCACAAATTATTCAGTAAATTTGAGGTCATTTCACTTTCATATCATATTTAGTAATATTTCATGTCATTTCGCTTCATCTTCTTCTGAGCGCCTGTTCTACTTGTGAAAATTGATTGGCAGAGTGCTTTTGATTGCCTTTGTGTTGGCTTGAGTCTACCAACAATTCAGGATTGGCAATTCCGTTTTCCCTGATCATTGTGGGGATGACGACCCCAAGTGCAACAAATTCAGCTTTTACTCTGCCTGGTGCCTCAGACATTCCGTGGAAGCCATGCAACAGGTCATGTCAATGCCATGCAACAAGCCAATGATAGATTTTCCACGCTGAGGATTATTCACCGACTCCCATGATGGCGAGATCTCTTCTCTACAAACTCTGCCAGCACAAAGTTAGCTCAGAGCTTAACCCATCGGTATGGCTGCAGCATCCATTTGTTGCTTCTGAGAAAAATTGTTGTGGCACAAATGACTGCAATTGCTGAGTCCACAGAGTCTACAAAAAATTGTTGCCTTTGAAGCCAAAAACGTCACACATTTTTCCTGCTTTCCAACGATGAATGTTTCACGCAGTTGCCATTGTGATTTTCTCCGATGTCCTGCGGTATTCTGAGTGGCCAATGAGGTCCTGGTGTCTCAGTGAATGAGAAGCTCTTCAAGGAGGCACAAAAAAGACCCAGCATTTGGGTCATTGGTTCCATTGGTCATCTTGGTCCACCTTTGAAAGCCTTGAAAGCCTTGTTGGAAAGCAACCATCCTAGCCGCCCTGCTGTAGCCCTCTTCGTGACTTGCTGTGATTCTTGCTGCTCCAGGTTCACACGACCAAGCATGGCTTGATGCGCATTTACAAAGTGATGAACGTGTCTCAAGAGAGCAAAGATTGGGTTGAGGCCTCAGAGGGCCCGACCATCATTGAACATCAACACGAAACATCACCGAAACATATCGAGACCACCCATCAAGACGTGTCCAGTGCACTAGCTTGAGAATGCACGGCAACAATATCCAAAGTGTAGTCACGTTTCCTATACTTGAGGTGAATGGTAACACAGAAACAGACATTGGAAGGGCCAACATGAGATAGATGTAAAATTGATGTAAAAACATTGTAAAAACACATTGATGGCTTTGATACCATGGCAGCCATGGTTGAAAAAAGTGGCTCAAGCTCCATTGGAGCTGATCCATTTGGCATCGATTAGCTCAGTGCGAATGGAGAGGTTTGCCATGGTGCCTTGTGGTGGCCCCTGTTTGCGTAGCGTAGCTCCTATGTGGTTTCGTACACCTTGGGTAAACAAACGACAAATCGAAAGAAGTAGAGTAACACGAAGTACAGCACGAAGTCGAAGGGGAAGTGCTTCAAGTGCTTCAAGTGGTGAAGCTCGTGCTGAAGCTCGTGCTGTCTCAAAGCAGACTCTGGGTATTTTTTCTCATCTCGCTCTCACGTTGCGACTCCTCTGGTCGAAGTGGTCAAAGTCGAAGCGGTCACGGCGCAACTTGACGCCTTTGCCTCGCTCCTTCCCTTGGCGCTTCCGTCAAGATCTTCGCCGCAAAGGTTGTGGTGTGGTTCGAATCCCTTCTGCGGCAGTGGAGCCTTTACAACGCATTGCGCAGGAATACCTCACCCGGGAATTTCCTCAGTTTTCACCAAAGACCGCAAAACCGAAGCTTCGGGGACAAGGGAGGAAAAGCGTTGAATCAATTGAAGCGCAAGGGACTGCAACTGAATCAACTGAGTCAACTGGATCATTTTTTCGTGCTGATGGCTTGAATGCAGCGTTTCCTTCCAGTATGTCCTGGCACTGGGCATCAGATGCTGCAACCTTAGAGGTTTTTGCCAAAGCGGGACAGCATGTGCTCCGATTTTTAGGGGATGATTTCGCTCTGGTGGCAGCCTCTCTAGTGGTCGCAAGTGGTGACTGTATGGACGATCTGTCGAAGTTTCACTTGGACTTTGGTCCACCAAAGATTCCTCGAGGAGTAGCAGCTACAGCACTGATGCCCCTATGGCCAGATCGTTTCCCATCTGAAGGACATCTTGCACCTTGGCTGGAAGTAGCTAAGAAAGTAGCTAAATTAGCTAAGAAAGTGGCTATAAGCATAGCGCTCAGCGGATAGCATAAGCATATACATATATAATCATATATATATAGCTATATATAGCTATAGACATGGCTGAATATAGCCATTTGATGCCCTGTGCATCTATGTGCGCATCAACTTGAAGGAAACTTGAAGGCACTGGCTGATTCAACACGAAGATGTTGAGATGTGTGTTTTTTCCAAAGCATGCAGAGACTGTAGCTGGAGTCCAAAACATCTGATGACGTTGTGCCATTGTGCTGCGAGGAAATTCGACCGTGGGATGCCAACGAAATGGTCACTTACCACTATCAAGCTGGAAGGGCTGTGGTTTTTGACGGGAAGCTTGCACATCGAACGCAGCCTTTTCGAATTCAAAGCTTTGCTGGCACCTTGGCCATGCCAGTCGAACGCATCGAACTTCCTTTGTTGGTCAATCTGTGGCCACAGCGATTTTTCTGTTCACAATTCAAAAATCTGAAACACTACTCTGGTAAGATATATATATATATATATGACCCAGGACTCCCAAGCCCCCCCCTCCCCCCCCCCATGGTCCCCCCCCCCCTGTGGCCTGTGGTGGTGGTATGGTTCTTCTGGTCCCCCCCCCTGTGGCCTGTGTGGTGGTTGGTATGTTGGTATGTTGGTATGTTGGTATGTTGGTATGTTGGTATGTTGGTATGTTGGTATGGTATGTATGTAATGTAATGTAATGTAATGTAATGTAATGTAATGTAATGTAATGTAATGTATGTAATGTAATGTAATGTAATGTATGGATGGATGGATGGATGGATGTATGTATGTATGTATGTAATATAATGTAATGTAATACAATGTAATGTAATATAATGTAATGTATGTATGTATGTATGTAGGTAGGTATGTATGTATGTATGTATGTATGTATGTGCGTGTGTATGTAGGTACGTAGGTACGTAGGTACGTAGGTATGTAGGTATGTAGGTAGGTAGGTAGGTAGATAGGTATGTATGTTTGTCTGTGTGTGTGTCTGTATGCATGTATGTATGTATGTATGTATGGTCCCGTGTCCCGTGTTCCCGAGAGCGTGAGCTTGGGGGACCATACCATTGGGGGGGGGGCCAGGGATCCGGAGTCCGGACTCATATATACATAACCATAACCATAATCATAATCATAATAAGAATAAAGGTAATAGTAGTAACAATAATGCATTGCATTACCTTTATAAACTATACCTTACATTGCGTTATGTTACATTATATCAAGTTTCCACACAGCATTGCGTCGTTATTGATATGATTGATATGATTGATTACATAACAAACATGATGTCACGGTGACATATCAACAAAAAACGACGACTGTCGAGGTACATCGCTGCGTGTCTTGGCCTCCATGAGCTTCGCTTGGCTTCCATCACATGCGCCCTGGAAAAGTGCTGTGAACCAGGCGGGATCCGGAGGGATCTGAAGGGTTTCAAGCATGAAACGGCCATGGGCAGCAATGTTGGACCATGCTGTTGGTAATGTAACTATATGTTGCGTAACGTAACTATGTAACAGATGTAACACAAAAAAATCGCAACTTGCTCATATTCATCAGTCTTGTTAAAATATATTAAAATATATACATTAAAGTTTAATACACCACTATGTCAACATATCCTAACATCATTGAATCATTGAACCAAAGATCTGCTCCGACACATTCTTCCAAACTGGTGCTGCCCCAAATGACTGCCTGGCGGCTTTTCGAAGACGTAGGAGGGTAACAACGCGTTGCAAAGTGGTTTCGTGGCCCTCAGTGCTATAATAGTGGTATGTATATATATATATATGTATATATATATAGAGAGAGACGATGTCCTATTCATGATTTACCATCAATCCCATGATAATCCCATGATAATCCCATTGTTTACAGTGTTTCATAGTTACCTTCATAGTTACCTAGTCGTTCGGACATATTTTGGGATTGTGCTTTTTTAGTGGGTAGCTCGCCAAACCTCAGACTTTGCACACCGACGCCCCGTTGAACCAGCGACGTGCGACCAGGTTGTGTCAGGATATGGTGCCCCTATGCTTGAAGTGCGGAGAAAAGCGGATGCGTCATGGGTCAATCAGAATATCAATCATTCGCCGCAACGCTGTTTTTTAAAAAAGGGTCTTGCAATTGATATCAATTGATCATGATCTAGAAAAGATATGAAATCTCATGATATATCATGATATATACCTTGCAACTTGTGTCCCTTTTTCATGATTTTCCCCAGAATGGGAGCCGTATGTAGCTCGCTTGATGGGGGTGATTCTTCCGATTCGAGCTGAGGTGGCCGATCCGAAGAATCGCATTTGCGATGCACCTGGCAGTTGGTACTGTGTTGGCCAGAAACCCAATGGTTTTCCTATGATTTCCTATGATTTTCGATGGTTTTCCAATGGGTTTTCCTATGATTTTCCCAATGGAACATTTGATGAGGACTGGTTTTCCTAGGACTGATTCAGAATCGCCTTTGTTTTCGTGAAAGAAAACACATGTGAGACTGCACTGTTCACTTTTTGAGCTTGCCAGTGTGCAAGGCCAGTACCCCCCTGCTCTTGAGAAGTGTGGAGCCCAGTTTACCCATCCCCCGAATTTCGGTGATTCGGGGATTCCCCAGGTGTTGACACAGGCTTCAGTTGTCTCTTGCTGTGCCGATGTCACCGATGTCCTGCTAAATTCCAGTCATGCCATGCCCTACACATTTTTTGGTCCACTGAGTCACTGAGGCTTATAGCCAAGCGAAGGAATTTCGCCCAAATCGAAGATTTCAACAAACAGGGAGGGAAGAGCGTCCTGGCCTCGACAGCCTCAACATCTCGGTAGAACATCGGAAGAACAGAAGAACATCTGCCTCCAAGGCGTACACGAAGCTCATTGAGAAGGCGCCGTCTTCGTTCAACGAAACACGAAAGGATTCTTCATCTCCACATATATACGTATAATATATATATACACATTATAACATATGTATACAGATCCATATAGTTGGCAAAGAATGACTGAAAAGGTGTATTCCAGGTAGCACTTGACCATACTGAATAACATACTTGGACAGATTTAGGCAATGGACTTTGTGACTGAAGCATACTTAATTTACGGTATTTACCAGAAACATCGAGAAAAACGACATATAAAGGCCAGTTCCCTGTGTCTTCTGAACTTCACGAAAAGCAACGTCAGTGGAGTGAGGGGATAGCGCTATGAGGCGCTCATTTCGCTTCAACCTGTGCCAGATGTTTCAATTGCTGTCTCTGCATGTTTGTGTGCTTTGCTGCTTGGGAGTGCTTGGGAGTGCTTGGGAGTGCTTGGGAGTGCTTGTGAGGTGCCAGCAATGCACCAGATACACTTGGTAAGTGGTTGGTAGCTGGATTGAAACTGGTGATTGACTAGTTGGTAACTGATGTAAGTGGATATACCAAGTTGCTATACCAAGTTGTTACCAAGTCACTAGTGGTTGGTAGTTGGTGACTGGGTTGAAAACATAGCAAGTTGCTACTGCAGTTGTCAGAGGATCACCTTTGCAGGAGCTGCATGGTAGCGATCTTTGACACGTTGAGACGAGCGCCACAACCGTTGCGTGAAAGAAACACACGGCTGCCAGGGCTTCAATTCCCAGCATTCCCAGCTGCGTTTCAACACACGGGAGATCACACTGGAAAAAATCGAGGTTTGATTTTCCATCCTTTTCCCGGGTCTATATGATTTTCAGACACACCCATTTGAATTCTCTGGATGCAATAGAAAATCAAGCAAAGGCAAGGCTTGTGCGAGGCAGAGGTATACGAAAGCTGAATCGACTGTGGACACCTTTGAGACGTAGACTTCGCTGACGTCCAAAGTCATGGCTCAGACATTCTCAGACCATGTCTGGTATGTGAAACAAGCAGGACATGCCAAGACTTTAGAATTAGACTCATAAGTCATAAGTGTGAGTTCGGACAGAAACTGGCAAATCAGTACAATCAAAGTATTCAATCCATCGCAACTGGGCCGGTATCGAGTTTCGAACAATTGGAAGAGAGCGTTCACAGCGACTTATGTGAACATATGAGCATCAACAAGCTAGAGATAGCTCCAGTGAATCTTGGGACGTCATGATTCATGAGAAATATCAATGCTCCCCACGCTGCCTGGCAGCTGCCACTTGTCCACGTTTTGGAGCCTGAGCCAGTGCCAATGTTATCTCAGTGGCGGGTTTGCCTTGAGCCAGCTTGAAACCCAGTGATGAAAACCTTTCAGAACTTCAGACATATACTATATATTACTATATTAAAAATATTAAATATAACCGGTAGATTCGGGAGGTAAGGGGATTCCATGGGATCTCTCTGTTTTTTTTGTGCATGTTTCGAGGTGCTTTTTTTTAATTTGCTTCGCCTACATATCATGGCTGCCCGTGCATAGTTTTGAAACCTGTGATGTCCTGAGGCATTTTTTCATGGGGTGTTGAGCTGAGAAAGCTGATGCAGTTCGCTGGGCGGGACAATGGACGTTAGGACATGGGATAAATGCGATATTCATGTGATGTACATGATATGTGTCGTATATGTAATATTATGTGCTATATCTAATGGATCTGATACAGGTGATACATGTAAGATATGTGATGTAATATGATGTGATGTGATGTTACGATGTGATGTGATGCAATCCAATGTAATGCACTGTAATGTGTGTGTGTGTGTATACACATATGTATACATGTATGGATATGTAGGATTATGTAGGTGTTTTTGTTCAGTTGGCCGATGCATTTCCAAAGCGCGATAACCAGATCGTGTTTCATTTTGCAGTGCTTTAGAGTCAGGACATTTCAGGATTTACAGCTGCGTTCAATGCTTATAATAGTATATAATAGTGATGATTGGGGATGTGTGCATCTTCATCCTGACAATATTTGGGTATGGATCAATATCTATTATATAATACCATTTTTAGGGGGATGAACATCCATTTACCAGCTATTTTGATGTTCACCAGGGGTACAAGGTTTTGACACACTGCCATTTGACAATTGTCATCAGTCGTGACCATGTCGTGACCGTGACCGTGACCGTGACCGTGACGCCGCTTTCAGGTGCTATGCATCGACAGAGGCCGCGGGAGTTGTTCCCAGCCCGAGGCCTTCTGGTAAGGTCCAATACTCAGCACGAAGGTCCAGTGTACGGCATTTGGTGGCTCGGGAGTTGTTGAGTTTTCACCAGTTCAACAAAAATACTGGTGAATCTGGTGATACTCGATGATCTTGACTATTTTTGACTATTTTTGTTGTGCTTTCAGGTGGCTCCAGATGTGCGGAAGGTGATGTGGCACTGTCGACAGATGTCGACAGCAGGGGGTTCTTTGATGTTCTTTGTCCAGCAAGAACTCAACAACCAGCAAGATCCCTCAAGATCCAAAAAGTAGATACAGTACAAGTATGACAAAGGTATGACAAAGGTATGACAACATTTGATAAAGTATTGACTTGTCTCTAGAAATATTCTTGAACAATGATACATATGTCAGTGCTCCAGAGAAGCTTCGTTTCATTGGGCTGGCCATAGAATCCAAGCTATTTGACTTGCTCCATTATGGGACAAGTCTGGAAACACAGCTTCAAATATAGATACCTCAATAGATGGATAGAGAAAAGATAGATAAATGGGTATTATATAAACAAACATGTACATTATTATATTTATACATGATGATACATGATGATACATGTATGCCAGCTGCGCTTTTGTTGCTGTGTTGCTTCCCGATGGGGCGCAAAGCCCATGGAATCCTATGGCCTTAGACATCAGCTCATCAGGCACTGGCAATTTCTGGGGAAAACTCTGCCAGGATGGAAAACAGTCCCTACATTCTGGAGATGTCAGTTGCTGAGCGGGTCAGTGGCCCCCAACCTGCACCCTCCATTGAAAAACATGGCATCTTTGCTTCTCTCATGGACTCTGCAAATTTCAATGCCATGTTTTTCATGCCCTTATTGTTGCCTCCAGCTGGCAGAATCGCCGGCAATGTGAGGCTTCCTATCTCCCCATGCAGCTTGTCCCTGAGCGATCTCAGATTTAGGTTTTGGAGGCGACAGGTGCGACGAATGTGTGCAGATGTGATGTTGATTTCACCCGCAAATCCCATGCATCTCCAGACCAAGGCTTCCGCTGGAGGCTCCCCCCGAGCTTGGCAGTGATGATCTTCCAGGATGGCGAATCGTGTGCAGGAGCGCCGCTTTTATCGCAGATCCTTTGCCGACAGGTGATCTCGTGGCAGTGGTTTATGGTTGGTTTACCCTCTGGTAAACATAGAAAAAGCTATTGAAAATGGCCATTTATAGTGGATTTTTCCATTAAAAATGGTGATTTTCCATAGTTATGTTAAATTACCAGAGGGTATGATTGCTGAAACGGATGAAAGGCCATGAATTCGGTGTTAGAAAGAGCTTGGATATGATCTGGCAGGCTGTCCCCGCAAGATGTGCGCGCCAAATGGGGCACACGGCCCCGTCCTTCACAAGGAGAATGGTCACCATTGGTAGCATGCCGGGTGGCATGCCGAGTGGCATGCCGGGTGACATGAAACATGAATTTCGGAAAGCATTCTGATGGCATCCAGTCCAAATGCCTTGGAAGCTTTGCTTTGGATTCTACCAAGTGAGGCTGAGATTATAATGGCAAAGATCTTTGCACGTATGGGATCCTAGCTTTATCACAGCAATAGAGGATCATCCAGTCAATAAATTCTAGGAAGGGCTCACAGAATTGCGCTTGCGTGCGCTTTCCCTATGTTCACTGACATCCGGCGACCATGTCGTTCATGGATATGTTGATATGGTTGGTATTTGAAGGTATTGGATATGTTGCCAAGCTCTGCCGTGCTGAATCTCTGGGCATGTCTTGTCACTTTATACGGATTTACACATTCCAAAGGTTTTCCAAAGGTTTTCCAAAGGTTTTCCAAATGTTTCCAAAGGTTTTCCATGACTTGCCAAAGCTTTCCAAAGCTTAACAAACCACTGAATTCAACGCCATTCTGCGCAGGAGTGACATGCCAAAGCATGCAGCTCCAGGAGGGGGCAAATGGAGTTTCTCCAACCGGACGCCTGTTGGTTTCACCATTTCCATACAAAACATATCACAACATTATAGACATAGTTTGCTGGTTCGTGGTTTGGATCATGAATTTTATTTTTCCATATATTGGGAATAATAATAATCCCAACTGACTTTCATATTTTTCAGAGGGGTAGGTATACCACCAACCAGACAGACTATTATAGACGTTTCAAGAAATGGGACAGACATCTATACAAAGCTGTCAGTTGATCTTACGACTGTTCCATGATGTTTCATGTGGACCTGCGGAGTAGTTACATAGTATGTGTTTCTGTTCCTATTTCTTGCTTCAAGTTTCATTTCGAAGAGACATGCAGGACGAACATGGAGGAATAAACCTGTTCAGTGTTGACATATGTCTCCGATTGAGTTTGTACAGAGTTCTTTTCGGGCCATTTGTATCCATTTGTTATGTTCTTGCGCTTCCGTGTGCAACAAGTTCTTGTGTCTCCAGCAGAAGAAACCAATGTCTTTGGGCAGATATGGCAGGTGCAGCTGCCAGATGGACCTTCTACTCTTCCGCTCCAGCTCGTCCGGCGCTTGGGAAATGCAGCTCGACTAGCTTCTCACGAATCTTCCAACCTCATCAAACACATTCAAGACATTCAAAGATATCAAATCCCATGTGGGAAGTGCTTTACAAGCTAATTGGAAGTCTTAGTCGAAGTCGGAAGTTTGCCAACTTTGGGGTTTTTCGATTGGCATTCGGACGCGCCGTGGCCT